CCGAGGCCGTCAATTGCAGGTTGGCCGACCCATTAAACCTGGCCGGAGCCTACCGCCAGTAAAGAGGGAACCTCGGTAACCCGCCAAAGTGGAACACCTCATCTTTCAGCGGGTCGACCTCCACGAGCAAAACCCGGAAAAACTCTTGTTTGAAATTTTTGTAAGACTGGGAGTAGAGAGAAAATAATCCTCCATCCTTACTACCGTTCAAAGAAACCCAACCATAGGGAGGTACACCCAGTTTCAGTTGGTAGAAATGAAGAAAAACAAGGAGAGATAGTAAGTATTGTTCTCACTATCTAAAATTTTTGGATTCGTCAATAAATTCAAATAAAGGAATAATTGTTAATTAGAATGTTGCATTATTTAGAATCTTTATTTTTATATTTTTAGTTTCATGATCCTGAAGTTAAAGCATATTAGGACGAAAACAAAATGATGAAAATTAAAACAATTTTAGCATAATTAAAAAGAAAAATTATGTAAAATATGAGTTAGTAAAATTTATAACAAAATAATAAAATAAAAAATTAGACAGGAAATGAGAGTGAGGGAGGGGAAGATGGAGCGAGTCTTCCGTTTACGCACTCTCTCTCTCCTTCCTTCTCGTTGCAATATATGTTGATGTAACACTATCGATCTCACTCTTCAATTTCACATCTCCTTCTCCTTCTCCTTCTCAGGCATATACACGGTACGTATCTCTCTCCTCTCCCAATACACAATGTCTCATTCTTCTCTTTTCCCATTATCATTTCAATTTAGATCTATCATTCGCCGCCATTGCTCTCATAACCGACTACCTTATCCTTCATCTCCTTATTTCCTTCGTAACCCTCTCTGCATTAAATAACTGCAAATTTCATATCGCCAAATTGCACATGCTCTACGTCATTTTTGATCCTTTGCTCGATTGCCTTATTTGCTTGCCTTGTTTCTGAATTGCGGTTGTTCTTTACACATGCCATTTCTGTTTAACATGTTGATAACAATATATAGGATTTGATCTCTATTAGTATTCACCAACATGTCGAATTGGAAAAACAATAAACAATATCTCATGCCTTTTTTCTAATGCTGCTAGATTAGGTTCAAATATACATCAATGAGAAGTTCCATCAACAATCAACAATTTCGTACAAAGTGTTGATGAAAAGTTTTTGTATTAAGAATAAATGATACATGTATTTAAATTATAATGATTTTTCGTCGTGTCCTCCAATCATAAATAACTATACCAAAAAACAACATATGTTCCTTTTTTATGATAAAGATTGAATCTACAAATTGTCAAATCACAAATTGCCAACATGTATGATGAATTGATTTTTATTTGAATAATCATGTCAAAACCATCTATATAATTAGTTCTTGACTATTAAGTTCTAATTATAATTATTTTTACGTATAAATGTGGGTTATTTAAAGACTTTCTTAACATCATGTAACGATGAATATTTAAAAGCAACAACTAGAGATCTTGATCATTATTTTAATTATGCATGTTTGGGAAATATTATTTATGGAAAAACAATCAAAAAAGCTAAAAGAAGTTGTTGTTTTCTTAGATTAGTTAATCCAAGCGAACATTAGACTATTAAAAAGTGTGTATATATTTGAAGTGTGAACTCTTTTCTTTCCTTGGTGGACATGGTAGAGCCGTCTACCTTGCAAGTTTTCATGATATGTATGCGATAGAATCTGCCTTTACAATTTTAAGTTAATTGCTTCTATTTAAGTTGACTAACTTGTACATAAGTTCCACACTATTTCTATTTTTGAACGACAGATATGGATACCTTCCTCTTCACCTCAGAATCTGTAAACGAAGGCCACCCTGACAAGATCTGTGATCAGGTTTCTGATGCCATTCTCGATGCTTGCTTGGAGCAAGACCCACAGAGCAAGGTTGCTTGCGAGACCTGTACAAAAACCAACATGGTTATGGTCTTTGGTGAGATCACAACCAAGGCCAAGGTGAACTATGAGAAAATAGTTCGTGACACTTGCCGAGGCATTGGGTTCGTGTCAGCCGAAGTTGGTCTTGATGCTGACAAATGCAATGTTCTGGTCAACATTGAGCAGCAGAGCCCTGATATTGCCCAGGGAGTTCACGGTCATATGACCAAAAAGCCTGAGGAAATTGGAGCCGGTGACCAAGGCCACATGTTTGGCTATGCCACAGACGAAACACCTGAACTCATGCCACTCACTCATGTACTTGCTACCAAAATTGGTGCCAAGCTCACTGAAGTAAGAAAGAACAAGACATGCCCGTGGCTGAGGCCTGATGGTAAAACCCAAGTGACTGTTGAGTACAGGAATGACAATGGGGCAATGGTCCCTGTCCGCGTGCATACAGTCCTCATCTCAACCCAACATGATGAAACTGTCACCAATGAGCAAATTGGCAAAGATTTGAAAGAGCATGTGATAAAGCCTGTGGTCCCAGCTGAATACCTTGATGACAAGACCATCTTCCACCTCAACCCTTCAGGTCGGTTTGTGATTGGAGGACCCCATGGAGATGCAGGACTCACTGGAAGGAAGATCATCATTGATACCTATGGTGGGTGGGGTGCTCATGGTGGAGGTGCCTTCTCGGGCAAGGATCCAACCAAGGTCGATAGAAGTGGAGCATACATTGTTAGGCAAGCGGCAAAGAGTGTGGTAGCTTCAGGGCTTGCACGTCGTTGTCTCGTGCAGGTTTCTTATGCAATTGGAGTGCCTGAACCCTTGTCTGTGTTTGTGGATTCATACAAAACGGGGAAGATTCCGGATAAGGATATTCTGGCTTTGATTAAGGAGAATTTTGACTTCAGGCCTGGAATGATTGCTATCAACCTTGACCTCATGAGAGGTGGCAACTTCAGGTACCAGAAGACTGCTGCTTATGGGCATTTTGGACGAGATGATCCTGATTTTACATGGGAGACCGTGAAGATGATCAAGCCCAGTGCTTGATTGATCGGCCTTGGTGTTCTTAAGGTGGTTATCATCATAATCATCTTTCCGATTTTGGGTTACGAAAAATAATAATAAAGGAGCTTCGGTGAGTAAATACTTCATTTAAGATGTGTTTTTTCAGCTTGGAGGAGAATGACAGCAGAAATGCGTTGTCCTAAGTGGAGGCGTTCGCACAATAGGAGCGTGCAGCATTATACATATTTCGATTTTTTGTTTTCTCTAAATTTCTTTGTTGTTTCCCTTATTTTTTTCTCCCCTTTCTGATGTTACCCTGCAGCCAATCTTGTGTGGTTGGGGTAAAGTTAGAATGTCATTTATTTGATTCTTTATTGTCACTTTTGTTTTATTATTGTTCGCCATCGCAAAGATTTAAGCAATTTTTTCTAATTTATACTGGGTGCAATGGCTAGGTTTTTAGTCTTGCATTCATAGCAACTGTTGGGTGGTTGAAAATTTCAGATACAGAGAGAAGTTGCAAGCATGATATTTGACTCAAGTGAAAAAAGCCAAGATTACCCATGAGCCAACATAGGTGGTGTTATCTGCTTCACCAATGGTAGTGTTTATAAGTTTATTGTCCTTACTAATGTCGATATAATATAGTTAAAATTTTTAATTTCAGAAGATCATTCAGCTACAGCCTCTATTTCCTAGTACTAGTCCTCTCACTCGTCTCTACCTGATGGCGGTTTTTCAAAATGACCTTCCATGCTGTATAATAAGATTATTCTTAAAAAGAGAGTACAGTCACACCCTCGCCATAAAGAAGTTATTTGGAATGTGAAGTCATTGATTAAGGAAAAAATAACAGTTCCTACGGTGTTTGTCCAAACCTATTTTTTTCCCCCAAAAATCTCGATTTTATAATTCTTTTTAACATTTTAATTTTATGAAATTAAAGTATCTTTAGAGTTTAGATGATCAATTGACCCTAAAAATAATATCCCTAATCATAAAAAAATGGTATTTATTTCCAGTAGCATAAAGTTGTTCAATCAATCTACATAGTGATTGTTTATTTGGTTAAAGAGATTAACAAGGACATTTAATTGATTTTCAAATGAAGAAGTCACACAAACCGATCTATTTTTCTTAACAATGCTACAACACAAAAAAAATAATAAAAATCTTATATCGATAATGAATCCTACACGAACATAAGCAAGCATAAATGAATGATATATCTTTAATTGATACAATAAAAAAAATCCACCGAAGTTGCTCTCATTACTCAACAACAATGTATGAGTTTCTCTTGCGCAAGCAATCATGTCCTCCAAATTATACTAAAGCATAGAAATCAAAATTATACAATAATTAACGAGTTTCCATTAAGAAACATGGGATCCATATTTTAGCAGCTCTTTGTTTTCTCAATAGTTATAAAAAACATGTATAAAATATAGCAACAAAGTTTATTCTAATTAATCTTTTTTTTTAATGTTTACTTCAATTCTAAACTATTTTAAAAAGAGGAAATTTAAGAGAAAGACTAGCAAAAAGATCTTTTGATTAATCCCTATATACTATACTTCGATTAAATGGAGTCTATCCTAAGCTATATATTTTGAAGGATTTGAATAAATCACTGAGATAACACTTTTACAAAATATTTGTTCATTGAGATTGTAAGGTTCATCCTTTTCAAAACATGTTTTAAAAGTCTCAATCTTGTTAGAAGAAAATCTTGCATGACATAAATTAATGAATTTGGTAGGAATAAATCATAACAAAATTAACAATCACATGTAATTATACATTATTCATCTAATAAAAGAAAATAAGAACACAATCCACCATATTGTTGTGGTGTTTGAAATAATGTTTAACAACATCATAATAATCAACATATATTATCCTAACGTGTGGATTCTTTTGTCTTAATGTCTCTGGAACCTTTTTCAATTGCTCATTATAATACTCAATGAAAGTATCGTAAATTGTCAATCACCCAAATTAATTATAGTCATCTTTCTTATTATTATTCACCATTGCCAAATCTCTCACTAAAAACCATGAGTTCTTAGTGAAATCATTTCTTGAAGTTCTGAAATTTTTTTATGTGGAATAATTTCATTAATGTCATTCCCACCAATCTCTCACTAAAAACTATGGAAGAACATATGCATAAAGTTTTGATGATGCCAAAACGTTGTAGAAAATAAAAGGTCAAGTTAAAGCAAGTTGATCGAGAAGAAAAATCTCAAGAAATAACTAAATAAGTCTTGACTACTTAGCTTGATATGTAAAATGAAATTTTAAAAATTGAAAATTTAACTTGGAAATTAAAATAAGGATTTAAAGAAAATAAAAATTTAGTATTTTTGAATATAAGAATAAGTTTTTGAAAAAGAAGGTAAAAAGAGTATTCAAAAATATTTTACAATAATATTTGTGACTGAAAATTAGAAGTTTCCTATAATCAAAAGTTTGTGTAACAAATATAGTAATATTTGTCTGGTAATCGATTACCAGCTTATGTAATCGATTACCAGAGCAAGGAAACTTCAAATTTCAAATTTCAAATACAAAAATGTGTTCTGGTAATCGATTACTAGACCTTGTAATCGACTACCAGAAGAGGGAACTTCAAAAATTTGAATTTAAAAGATACAACGTTTCAAATTTTTTGAACTTAAAAACCGTTGTAATCGATTACTAAGCCTTGTAATCGATTACCAGAGTATCTTTTCTGAAAAATTATAAAGAGTTACAACTCTTCATGAAAAGACACAACCTAAGAAATAATTGTTTATAAATACCTATAACTTTTTAGTAAAAGGTTATGAACTCAATTTTTGAAAAAGTCATATACAAAAATTCTTGGCCAAAATTCATTTGCAATTATTCAAAAGAGTTCATTAAGATCTTAATGGTGTAATATCTACTCTTAAAAGAGAGTTATTCTGTAAAACCCAATTGATCATTTGATCTGTGAAGGAGAAAGAATTTTCTCCTTGTTGGTTTTTGAATCTCAACACATGGAAAGGACTATTAGGGTGCAACTGGCAAGGAGCCGAGTTGACAAAATTTAAAAAATCACAATCAAATTGGGTAAAGGGAAGGCATACGCCTAAATCCCTGAAGAAACACTAGTACATGTAAAAGAAGGGAGGGTCAGGGGTAAAAACCCCAACTATTAGGGTGCAACTGGCAAGGAGCCGAGTTGACAAAATTTAAAAAATCACAATCAAATTGGGTAAAGGGAAGGCATACGCCTAAATCCCTGAAGAAACACTAGTACATGTAAAAGAAGGGAGGGTCAGGGGTACCCCCCATATATACACGCTCACCGGGCTGACAAGGTTCAAGCCGGATAAGCTTAGAAATGGATGGTTCACAGATCCTATGTGATTTCCACATCGCATTAATCTCCATGAACGACTTGAAGATGCTTTGAAATTCCCCGACGTCACCCCTGACCCATTTGTAGCCAGGGATGACGGGGAAGGGTTCCTTAGGCTGGTTCCCCCCCTTTTTCTTTTCAGCGGCGGCCGTCTCGGGGGCCACCGCCTTGCCGCGCGCCTTGCCTTTACCCTTGGCCGGCGCGGAAGGAGGGGCATCACTGTTACTAGCCATCAA